AATGCGCCTAATTTTTCTACTTTATAGAATGCATTTGTGTGTGTCTGTGGGTGGTGAAATCTGTGCCAGCTCAGTCATTTTTGCACATGGTTCAGTGATCAGTTATATCCACCAAACAATTATCACCACCCCAGTCAGAAGTTGTTCTTCACGTTCAACAGAAACACCCACCACTGTCAAGCCGAGTCCCACTCAGGTGACCCTGTAAGACAGAGCAGAAGTGACCGATAGCCTCTCGAAGACGAGTGTTTTACAGAAATGGCTGCCTCGTCTTCCTCCTGTGGCCCATGGGCTCAGACACGCCCCTTTCACTAGGAGCGGGGTGTTCTGGGTGTTTAAGCCCCGTGTCATGAGAGCTCTGAACAGAAACTCAAAACAGTGAACCTCAGCAATGACCGACCTTGCCCCTTGGTGCCAGGAGAATTTTTGAGAAATCTTGGGCCCAAATTCTCTTTCAGATTCTGAAGAACCCTTGCCCTCTCTATCTTTTAGATCTTTCTGGAAGTTTCTGAACACTCCCAGGCTGCGTGTGGAGTGTAGCACCTGCTTCTTGCCCTCACCTGCGCAGCCTTGACACTGGCCTGAGGGAGGTCGGGAAGGTGAAGTAGGCACAGCCTCCTCTTGTCCTCATGAAGCTCAAAGACCAGCCAGAACACACCCGGCCTGCTGCCAATGCTAGAGGCTCACTGCAGCTCCAGAGGAGCTTCTAGGCAGCCCTGGGGAATGCCACCAGAGCTGGACGAGAGGCAGGCTGGCTCTGTAGAGGCCCAGGGCTTGGATGATCATGATTGGGTGGTGTCAGCCATATGGTTTGTCCTCCCAAGATCAACAAAACTCTCTGTGGGACTGGGTGCTCCAGCTGCTCTGAGGTCTGTTTGGCCGGCAGCAAGTTTTGGTGGACGTCTGTGGTCCCTGAGGTTACCCTGGATGGGAGGAGTGCTGGCCTAGCAGTCATGGTGGATTTGGCCAAAGGCTGTGTCTCCAGGTGACCAAGCCGTGGCTGGGATTCAAATTGAAAACCTTGGTGGAACCATGAACAAAACACATAGGTGCTAAATAAAGAAGTTGATTATTCCAATCCACCAACTGCTCAAGGGAGGAAGCTGGGGAAGGCAGAATGGGGCCCTGTGAGGTGGCCCTCTGTCCTGCATGGCTGCCAGGGACCCCAAGCAGCCCTCCGGCTCCGGGCTTTCAGCTTCAGGATTTGGGCGTCCATGGCAGTGTAAACAGTTAAGCCCTCAGCTATGAGAAGCCAGAAGACTGAGTTTGCCCAGAAGCACTCAGAAGAAGGGCATGGTGACGTGGGTGTCTGTGGATGGCTAGTCACTGGACCCCCATGCTGTGCAGGTCTACTGTGACACGCACTCCTGGCCAACACTGTTTTTACCCCTGGTTGACTTTGTGGGAACCTAGCAGCGTGGGATGAGATCAGAACCGTTGCTTCATCAGCAAAGGGGAGAAGAGCCGCCTCTGCTCAGCCCTGGGGCAGGGTCCCCTTGTCGCCTCACTCTGCATCCCGTGTGTCCTCATCCCCAGGCCAGGTGGGCGAGCTGCGTGCCCACTCCCTCTCTGCCCTGGAGCGGCAACCAGCTCCCTGGGAAACTCAGCTCTCTACTGGGTAATGACAAATGACCAAAAAATCAATTTGTAATCTGATTGGAGGGTTTTGATTTCCTCTGATGAGTTTAAATTTCATTAAAAGCAACCTTATTCCGACATAAAAGGAACCCTTGAAGGGTAAAACGGGGGATTGTCTCACTGAGTCTAAAGCTCCCCAGCTCTTTTGTCTGATTTATTCATCGCGTTAATTGTGAGGTCCGACCTGGGGTGTCGTTGGCAGATGCGTCCTTATCGGGCCTGAGATCATCCAAGCGGCTCAAAGCACAAGGACTTACATTCAAAAGTGGCTCTTTGCCATATCGACACTCGAGTTATCAACAGCCCTTATTATCTGTGGAGGGAGGTGGCAGCTCGGGGCCCCAATAAGCCACGAATCACGGCTGCCTCTCTGCATTCCTTAATTGTATGTATTCTTTGGGAAAAAATGATCAGGGGGCTCTTGTCTTGATGAGAAATTGACATTTTTCTGAGGACTTCTTTGGGCGCTGCTAGCGGGGAGACAAAGCTCGGAGTTGTTTTAAAGGAGGCAGCCTTTCTTTCTTGCAGGGACCTCTTTATTTCTCTTGTTGACCCACTTGATGAGTATGGATTTCATGAGGTCTTTTTCAGCATTTGAACTATAAAAGGTGCAGAATGACACCACCCCTTATAGACAAAGGATAACCTTGCCCTTTGAATATATCGATTCTTTATTAACTAGGCTGTTTAATGCAATGAAATGAGGCATTAGATTGAAGCCCATTTCGAGTGCTTTGAATAATCTTTAAAAGCTTGAAAGACCTTAAAAGGCAGCCTGACAATAATTGGCACACATTTTGAAAGAGTCCAGTTCTCACTTCGGACGAGAGACACCAAGAGAAAACACTCTCTCTCATCCTTGGTCACAGAGGCCTGGCACCTAGCTGGCTCCAGAAGGGCGCCCCATCCTCCCCCCCCCCATGGCAGGAGCTCCAGGTGGGAGGGAGGTGGGTGGTCAGCAGCACCTCCCCGCTGATCCCAGGACTCCTTAGGGAAGGGAAGTGGGGAGCGGGCTGCTGGGAGACTCCCCACTCTCTCTTTAAGGTGTACTGCTCAAAGGAACCTGACTGTCATTGACAGGGTGGAAAAGGAGGTTCACAAGTTTCTTTATGTTTTGAGTAATTGTTTCCTGTTTTGCTCAGCAGAACAAGTAATTAAGACGACATTTGTGAGTACTAATTTGGATCACACTTGTATGTATGTGTTACAGAGCTGCAAGCCAAAACATGCAGAAGCAGCCTTTCATTGAGGAGAGAATGAGAACAGTTGAACGAGGAAGAAGGGGGTGGGCGCACAGCCCCCACAGGAGCTGCACATCCGTGTAAATTGGAGCCTCAGGACAGGGCAGGTTGTTAGCATCACAGCACTAGGCTACACATGCAGGCAGCCAGTGGGGGGTGAGTGATGCACGAGGTGGGTCTGGTGTTCGGGGTGGCATGCCTCATGCTATGAGTAGCCAGCACCTGTACGTGGATGCCTTGGCGTCTGTCCTCCCCCCTTGCTGCAGCCTTATTCTAAGGCTAGTTCTTGCCTAACAGAAACACAAGGACCAAGTGAGGAGCATATACCCGGACCAGCTGGAGCACTTAATCTGCAGAACCCTCCAGAGGCAGAGGCTTAAGCTGGAGGGGAAGGCGAGTGGGCTGCTGGCTCAATCTTGAAGGAGCTTCTGAATTGCTTATATTCTCCAAGAACAGTGGCCAATGATTTGTGGCACTCAGAACGGCTGAGCCCAAGTCTGACACGGAAGGAAACCTGTATAGATGGGTCAGTGTGTGTACAACACACGTACAAACGGTGCACTGGAGGCTCGGACCCATTTAGGTAACTGCTGACGAGATATTTTTGGGCATGTTGGGAAAGTGTGAAGATTGAAAATCAGGATGGGCAGTCCCGAGAGAAGAGAATTAAGTCTGGTAAAGTTGAAGGTCAGAAGAGGCAGACCCTCAATGAGAAGACTAGTACAGAAGCGCCAAGAACGGGATCCCATCCAGCTCTGCCTGTGAGGAGGCACAGGACTGGGCAGTGCCCTGTTCTCTTCTGCACGAGGTCGTTCCAGGTTGGAACTCAGATGACAGCACCGCCCCCACCCCACCTCGGCCAAGACACAGCTCCAGCACCAGCGGTGGACAAAGGAAATCCCTGTTGGAGTGTTGGTGCGAGCGTCATTGAGTCATTTTAATAATCAAAACAGATGAAATTACTAAAAGTGAAATTCACAGACAAGAAATACTTTAATTAAATATTGTGTAAAATGAACATTTTTATACAGTTAAATATCTGAAAAAATGTACAGATAAAACAATCTTATTGTAGGGTCTTTAACAGTAAAATCTACCATTTAGTGACGTGCCCAGTTCAGAGATGAGGGAGTAATGAACGTGTTGACTAATGAAAACACAAACCAAGTGCAGGACGAAGGGACTGGTGAGCGTTTGGTAACACGGACACGTGAACTTTTTTTTTCCTTTTTCTTTTTAAGATCAAAATCCTTACACATACAAAATGAAACGGAGGCGATTTCATTCCAAAGCGACTTCTCAGGCTTTTCCACGTAGCTAAGCCGCATGTGACCCACTGACCACTGGGAATACGTTGTTCATTTTTAAAGTCCCTTTCAACGAACACTCTCCTAAATTGTGCATTTTTGTTGTTGTTGTTGTTAAGGGAATTTTAAAAAGCCTCTCCTTTTTGTTGGAAATTTTCTTTCTGCTGCAGTTTGCAAAACATTCACTGTGCTGTGTCTGCAAAGGATTTAGTGCAAAGGAAAAGACAAAATCGGACCCTTCGGCCTCATTGCAAATTTGGCACTAACAGGCACAGAATAGGAAGGAGGGCATTCTGGTCTAAAAAGTACAGACAGTGCTATTGGGTCTGACTACAAAAAGGTAGTGTTTCAAAGGAAAAGTCAAAACCAGCAGTATTTGGGGCTTGACCCTGGGCCCACTCTGAGTCCACAGTGGGCTGAGAGGTTGCACAGTGCAGCAGACGCTGGCCTAGAGAGGAGTGACCGATGGAAGGGCGTGTTTGTGCTTTTGTCTGTTTGCTTTTGTACACCATCCATCTCCAAACGCGATACTGATTAACAATTGTGGTGTAAGCCTGCGATAAAATAGCACAAAGGTTCTTCAAAGAAGTCCAATTTTAAGGCATCAGAGAAGTTAATGTGGCAAACATTTTAATTAAAACGTCAGAAGTAAATTTTATTTTAAACTTTAGGCCTCTGAACTTTTTCCAGTAAACACAGTTCAGCTATGTGGCAAAGTCATAGGTGGCAGCTAAGATGACTTTTTTACATTCTACAAAAATAAAATAAAATAAGGACACACAGTCCCCAGTGGTGTCACTTCCTCACATCTGTCCCACACGCAGGGACTACTAGGATTGGCCACCACTGGGCACACCGCTATGCTTCAACTATACAACAAACTTTTTTTTTCTTCAAAATTATTTGTTCAGATAACTTAAAAAATAATATAAAAATAAACAATGAATTTGATCTTTTTCCACAAAATAAAAAAAGAAAGGCTGAAAAGGCAAAACAATAACAAACGTTTGAAGTACAAATGAAATGGAAAGACACAGGTTCGTTGGAACAAAACAGAGCAGAGACAGTGGCTGCTGGCTTGATGTGCTTTGCGCTCCTCAGGACAGCCACACCGCCACGACCAGAAATGGGGAACAGACGAGAAGAACTCAAAAGGCAGGAAAAGCAATGTACAAAATTCTCAAAGATAAATACAATATTTATAATTGATATGTTACAAAATAAAGTTCCTTATCAACTGCAAGTGTTCATGGGAAGTCAGGGAGACCATCTTATCCCTTACAAGACACATAAGGAATAAAACTTGCTCTTCTAAATATTTAAGTGGATCTGAAAAAAATTCAAGACAAGTGTATAAATATTTAGCTACAACTTTGGCAAAATCACAAAAGTCTACAATTTTATAACCACATACAAAACACATCAGGGGAAGAAGGATCTAGAAGTCAAAAGGACAATTTCTGGTACAAGAAACGTAGACCTCACAGTAATCTAAGAATGCAATAGTATACAGTGCTAGCAAAAGTTGAAGAAATGTTGCAGGTCACATTTGCTTAACAGGAAGCTCTAGCAGTGGGAGAATATTGTAACCAACAGACAGTAGCATTGTTTTTCCTGTCAGTGTGCTTGTTGAAGGCAAGAGAATTCAATATCAAAGTTACAATTTCTAACTACAATAAGTTACAAAGTCTCATTTCATTAAGATGAAGTTTAGCAATGGTAAACCCTCCCTCCCTCCCTGAAACCCCAGATTCTCCTAGTCATATAGCCATCCTTTTTTTTTCCAGTCCGATGGGTGATACCTCCTTGGCCCCCTTTTTTTCACCACAAAAAAATATTTCACATTATAGAGATACACAACCATTGTGAATGTAAGTATGAGTACAGAGAGATGCTTGGAGGCTTTGAGCAGTGTCTCATGAGAACCAAAAGGGTGCACTCACAAAGTTTCTCCCAACACATACCAAGGTACTAGACACAGCCAAGACGGAGTCAGAAACTTTATACAAAATAGGCATCGCTTTGTTTTTCCTTATTCTTCGGGACTGAGAAGTGTGAAAATATGAGAAAAGTTCAGTCAATAAAATGGAATTGTTCATGAAGACGTGGGTTGTCTGCAGGTGGGTAACAGTTTAAATAAAATCTTTAAACAAAGTCTCTTGTGGCATCTCCATCCAGCTGATGTCTTCAGAAGGTACTGCTGTCATCAGCACATCTTAATTTGCTAAATGTGTCCCCAACACTCGTCCTCAGGTGCTTGGTGTACGGCAGGTAAACAAAAGTGGCCTCACATTGGCGGGACTACCAGCCCAGACATAGCTGAAAGGCAGAGAGAGAAGAGACCATTAGCGGGGCACCAGCTCCAGCCCTAACGTGAAGGCAGGTGCAGTGGTCTTCGACTTGACCCTGATCCATTAGCCAGCCTTGGGCATGGTGACCAACCCACAGCCCCAAAAATGTGCCAACGGAGACAAAGTAACCCCAGGCCACTGGCGTTTCTGTGAGCCAACATCTCTGCTTCCCCTCATCTTGGCATTCTGTCCACAGCAAGCAGACCCCTGGGCCACCTCGGTCCACCAGGTGGGAACCAACCTAGTCCCCTGGGTGCCATCAGCCAAGGCCAGCTTACACCTGGAGGGTCCCACGCCCTGACCTCAGCCCCTCCATGGAATCAGGCCTTGCCTCAGTTTCCCTCTGCACAGTTGGCCATGACTCTACCAATGGCCCTGCCGGCACTTGTCATAATGGTGAGTCATGACGTTTGAAACCACTCTGCTCTGGCCTCTGGAGACAGACAGCCAGGCAGACACACAGACACAAACCTCTCCTTGCTGCCTGTTATGCCAAAGGGCTCACGGAGCTTCCGAGAGAACTCCTGGTAGGGGGATGATTTAGAATCTCTTCCCTTTATTGTTGTTTAATTTTTGTCAGAATGACCAGTCTCATTAATCTATGGGCAACATATTAATAAATTGGTTCATGTAGTGATGTGTGCTTCAATTTCTCAGTTCATTAATCTCCAGAGTCTTAATTTCTCTGACTCACCGTTACAACATTAGGGTTGGGAGGCCCGTGTGCGTGCATGTGTGCCCAAAGAGGGTTGCCTGGCAGAGTGGCCATGCGGCTCAGGAGGGGACCGCTGGCACCGGGACACCCCCTCACACACTAGCAAGCATTCTGAGGACAATGGTGTTAGTACCTCTCCAGCTGCTTTTTTGAGCATTAGTTCATCAAAGTGAAACAGGCCACCGACTTCACCAAAGGGCCCCCTTGTCCTCTCCGAGACCGCGTCCGCAGCCGCCAGCCGGGAGCCTGGCACACAGCAGGTGCTCAGTGAGTACGGTGGGGTGCAGTCAGGCTTTAGGGAACAACTGAGCTGGACGTGGGGGTGTCCCAGGCGGTGCGAACGGTTAGTGCCCTCAGCTGCTAAGTGAGAGGGTGGGGGTTCGAGTCCACACAGAGGAGCCTCAGAGGAAAGGCCTGGCAATCTGCTTCTGAACAACCAGCCCAGACGCTCTCCAGGGTCACTGAGTTAGAGCGATACAAGGCCTTGAGGGGCAGGTTAGGTTTTCCCTGGGAAGAGCACAGGGATGGGGTCTGACCACACCAGGTGACAGCCACCTAGCTTATGTCACAAGGGGCCTTGTGTAAAGTATGGGGTCTGGGCACAAACTGAGGGTGACCCTGGTCCTGCATGGCCAGCCCTTCAGATCCTGCACCTAAGGGACACTCACTTAGGAAATGCCACCCTATTGTCACCTAAGACTGTAACCCAGCCCAAGGGCACAGACAGCCCTAGGTCCAGCACAGGACCCTCCACACGTTCCCACCTCCCTTGGGCCACCATGGGATGAGTGTGCAGTCTTTGTTCCTCAGGAATGAGGGCTCAGTCTCAGGACAAGGAGGTCACTGTGGCCCAGTGACCCACCACTCGCACCGGGGGCCCTTGCATGGCTGTGGACAGTGGCTGCCAGTTAGGACAGGGGCGAGGACATGCCTTGTCCCTGGTGGGGCCAGTGACTGCCCCTCAGCAAGTGGGACGGTAACCCTAGTCTGCTTCCCCGACCCCATTCCCGTCCTACAGGCTCCCCCCACATGAGATGAGCACACCCGAGCCTGCATGCGACCACACACACACACTGGTTATGGTGGGAGGATGAGGAAGGTGCGCAGAGCGCCCGCAGGGCTGAGGTGGGGTGTGCAGAGACACAGCTGGCTAGTGTGTGGGACATGAAGGCGTGTAGGAGTAGGAGGGGCCTGGGGTCTGAGCACGCACCCCAAGAAACCTCCGTGCTCCCACCCAAAGCAGAATCCAATCCTGACCTCCCCACTGCCCGGGCCAGCCAGCTGCCTCTGGGGACTCTTGGGGCCCACCGCCCTGGGCCTGGGCCACTGTGCCCTCACCTTGGAGTCCGTTTCCGTTGGCGCTGGTGCAGGACGGAGGAGGAGAGGCTTGGGGCCGGACCACGGGCGCGAAGGCGCTCTTTTGTTTCACTGCGGAGATGACATTGGCAGGTGAGAATGAGAAAATGCCGTGTGTACTGCTACAATTTGAAGGGAGGGTGACCGAAGAGGCTGCCATGGTGGGGCTGGACGGCACTACTGCAACAAAGCAAACATGGTCAGGACACGCGGCGCCCGCACGCAACACCACGGGCACACGACACACACGACACGTCCCTGCCACTCTCTGGATAATGGGCAAACTCGGGTGTTGGACCTTCTTTTTCCAATTGAGCAGCCCAATCGGGTTTCGTTTGTTTGGGTTTTGTTTTGGGGGTGGCCACATGGGGGCCAGCCCAGGCCAATTGTCCCGGCGTCACCAGGACGTCCAGCCTCAGAGTCACCCCCCTTTATCCAGTAGCTCACATCACAGGACAGGCAAGCAAGGCACACACTTGACTTTGTCGTGAATATGAATCTGCGTGATGACGCGTGACAAGAACAGACACTTACTGCCGTAAGGAGAGTTAGCGGAGGAGCCATTAAGAAATCCAGGCGAGCCAGGGACCCCTAGATTGGCCATGCTGCCACTTCCATATCCATTCATGCTAGTGCTCACTGTGTTGTAATTGGACTGCTGGGGAGTACTGCTGGGGACGTATCCTCGCGGGGACACGCTGCTTGTATTGCGACTGTAGCCGACTGTTGAAATCCCCCCCGGCCAAAAATAATGTTATTATCAGCGATAGACACTTGGGGGGGGTCCCCGCGAACCTACATCATCTATTACACATTTCTAATTGACCTGATGCAGCCCTGGCACCTCCAGCTGGCTAAGATAACCGCATCATGCCAACCCTGCCACGGGGCCCACTCTGACTGCCGGCTTCCACAGCCGACCCGTGCGCTTCGATCGGACCATCAGCTGCTCTCCCGGTTCTCCTTGGAAGCAATTACCGACAACACGGATTCCTGGCCATCCCGCCACACTAAGTGGCCTCTCGGCCTGTGCAGGCCTTCAAATGCCACGGCTGACAAGGAAAGCTTGGGTGGAGTAACTTCCTGGAAAGGCTATTCAAAGGTCTTCATTTTATGGTGGTTATTTCTGCATGGGGGAGGGGAGCATTATTCCTGCCGGGGGTGGGGAGGGGAATGAATTAGAAGCAACAACTGTTGGGGTGCTGTCTGAGGTTACTGTCTACATGGTTTGCAAAGAGGAGTACTAGAGAGACCCACACAGCTGGCTCGAGAGACAGGCACAGGGACTGTCGGTGGGCTCACTGGTGCTGGGCTCCCTGATGGTGGGCAGGAGGCTAACACATCACAGGAAATTCTGTTCCACTTACTCTTCCAAGACTCAGACCCCCAATCCCACCCAGGTAGTATATCCAAGAGGCCGCACCCTACCCCCAGCTTCCCACTGCAGACTATCCCAGGCTCTCAAAGGAAGTCAAATCAGTTGTGAAGAAACTCAAGGGAGTGTCTCACAGGTGTTCTTCATTGAAGGAGCAGCCAATGCTGCTGCTATGATTAGTTGCCACATTCCCTGAGCCCTCTGCCTGCCCTTGCTCAAGCTCTCCAGTGAGGGGTTCCCTGAGATGAGCAGAGCCAGGACACAGAGGATTACAACCCCCTCTTCCCAGGCTGCCCTCACCCCTGAACCACTTCAGCTAAGGCTTTTAACCAGGGCTGAGAGGGGCCTACTAAAGCATCAGCCTGCAATGCCACCTACCTTGGTCATTGGCTTGTGATGTCTCAGAGACATTGACAGCTAGCTGGCTGCTGAAGGAGTTCACGCCCATCATGCCGGTATGGGCAGGGGTGTTGCCCAGGGTAGGGATCTGGTTGTGGTTACGGGGGACGCTGTACAAGGCTTCTGCGATGTCGGCCGCTCGCTTCAGAATGATCTCCTAGAGTGGGAACAGGACGCCGGGTCATAGGAGACCAGACTCAGCTGGCCATCTTCCCCAGGTACCCTGACTCCAGGGTTTGGGGGCCCTCACCCACCTCACTCACTGCCGGTGAGTTGACCTGGACTCACAGTGGGCCTCGAGAGCAGAGTAGAACTGCCTTATTGGATTTCCAAGGCTGTAAATCATGACAGAAGCAGGCTGTCACATCATTCTCCCATGGTGCTGCTGGTGGGTTTGAACCACTGACTTTTCAGTTAACAGTCAAGTACTTTAACCATTGCGTTACCAGAGTTCCTCCATCCCTCAACTGTCTGGGAAACAGTGGCAGCACTCTGCGTGGCACGCCCTTGTGCGTCACAATTGGGCATGCACATTGGGAGGGAACTTTATCTTTTTATGGAAAAACATGTCCCTTAGGAGAAGAGGCTGAAGATGTTTCTAGAAGGGATGACATCTACTCTATTCTGTCCAGGCCCTAATACCCCAAAGTCAGTCCCTGGTGTATGCCAGGGGCCCGGGTTGCATGCTAGAGGGCATGGACAAAGTCCACTGAATCCCAGTGCTGGGTCCAGTTCCCGCAGGCATACTCTGGCTCCTCTACTGCGTGGACACACCTGAAGCCAGGCAAATTTGAGCCCAATGGTGCTACCCCCCATGTCCAATCCAGGCAGTGTGGAGCTCTAGAAGCCAGGGTTCCCCGGGGCATCTGCCATACCTTTCAACACCCCTACCAAATCTGGCCCCACTTCAAGGTCATGTTCATTGCTTTAATACCTGCTTCTTCCTCTGGGTCCTGTGCTAACTAGTCAGGCCAGCCTGACCCCCAGGCCTGTGGCCACTCTCAAGACAGCTTGGCCATGGTACTGATGTGTCACCAACCTGGTTGTTGTGGGGCATCCCATATAAGGCTTCCACCAGGTCCGCCGCCCTCTTAAGTAATACTTCCTAAAGGAAAAGCAGACAGTCACTTCCCTGGGGAGGCTATGAAATGGCTATTACCCCTGTGGGCACAAGGAGCCCATGGCCCCTGGGTGGCTGGGCCAGGTCCCACCAGGCAGGCTGGGGAGGCAGGCACAGATGAAGAGCTGTTGTCGCAACAGTGTCTTTGCTGGCTCCCTGCATCCGCAGCCACCCTGCCCTGCCGCTGTCACCAGCCCCTGTATCTGACAGCAAGGGACTCCAGAAGTGGGGGCTCGGCCGAGCTGGGCTGAGGTGCCCGGGGCTTAATGACGGCGTCTTATGGGTATTAAACAAACACACACA